CTTTTCCAACGCTCTTTTGTTAGTCTGTCCAGAATAAAGGTTCCAACTGTATTCCCCGAAGTCGCAGTCACAGTACGAACGCATCTTTCCCGCGTTCACTGATCCCCATTACATATTTACATATGTACGCGTTAGGTTGCCTCGTTTAACGCTGTTTCGTTTAGCGCTCGAACTTATTGGAACGTATCCCCCGCGTTAAGCGTGGTCTTACTGTATTATAAAACAAAAAAATACATTTAACTCGTTGGACGATTTTCTTAGTATGAAACTAGTTTTAAATGCATCTCTGGTTCGTCAAGAATTTCTCATATATTTTTACAAGAATTTGATACCGGTCGTAACGAACATGGAAGCTTCATAACATCGAATCAAGTTAGAGCAGCAAGGTACACAGTTGGCTCTTTGGCAGACGGCTGAGTTAGCATGAAATTCACAACGGTTTGTATTTCCAGAGGCCGCCGCGCGCGTAAACACGATCGAAGTGTGTAACGCAGCCGCGCAACCATCCGTTCGGCTAAACGTTTAATTCGATGTTAATCCGTCAAAGGAAGAAAGGGATAATTGTGCAAGCAAGATTCCGAAAAGCAAATTTGCGCACGCGGCCACGGCATAAGGGTTAATGGACAGTCCGGCGAGTATTCTAAGCGGTGGCAAGTTCTACGAAAATTGGAGAGTGCAAACAGCTTACCGCTCCAGTAACATCCGTAGAGCTCGACCCGCATGCAAACCGTCCGCGTGTGATGGCTGTAGGGCAGAAAACGGATCTTGCTCGCCCACAGAGGCGGCTCCAGCTCGTGCTTGGACTCCAAATACGTGTTCGTGTTACCCTGTATTACCTGGAACCGTGGAAACGGTGGTTAAAGACCAGGACAATTCCGGTCTTCGGGCTACCCTTTGAGTTTTGCTGTAACCCCCGACCACCCCACCCCATCCCCCGCTCGGGAAAACATTGATTTCTTTATTCCCCTACAACGGTCGGCACACACTCCCGCCATTCGGAGCCAGTGGGACACCTATTGTCAGAGACACTTCAGCTTTGCTTGACTTTATCGAACCGTCGAGAACTTACACTCGGCCGAACGAATATAGCGAATTCGCAATTCAATCGAACCACGCACCTGGACCGATCCCGTCGGATTTCCACCATCGAATTCAGGATCAATCAATTAGTAATGTGCAAAATGTTCGCCAGAGGGAATATCTCGAATGACAAATTGCGTAGAGTGTGTGGGTTTTATGAGAACGTTAATTTTCTTAAGTTCCTTAACGCTGGATTTACGAAGCACAAAAAACAGCTGTTTTATATTAGTTTATGAAAGTAAAAAATAAGACATTTATTCTATGTATATATACATTTATTTATTGTTTTTCATAAGACATTTATTTGTAACAAATGTTATCGTAACATTTGCCGTTAGTAATATATAAATTGAATAAATGACTCGTAAATGTAGCTTTACGATATGAATAATCGCGAATTAAAAAATTAGTGACCCGTCATTTTGACGGGCTCCGTTAATCTAGTGTTAATAAAAAAAGCGAGGAAAATCAATTCCATCGGTTATTTAGAAGGATTCTTTTGATACTATTTCAAGATTTCTTTGTTAAACGAATATTTTTCATATGTAATCTACTCAGTCTAATGCAATCCACATACTACACAATAGGATTATCTTATGATTACAGTAGTTCACGATTAAATTTCTCTATTTCCACGCTTATATTATTAATAGAATTATATAAATATAGATAGATCAATTATTAATGAATCTATTTATAATTATAATAAAATCTATATTATAAAGAATCTATCTATAGATACATAATTATAAACAGAAGTATAAATACCAAATTGTTTCTCATTTCCATAGGAACTGTAATTACCGTAATTATTATACTATAAGGTAAATCAGTAATCTAGCACAGGTCGAAGTAATTTTAGTAACAGTTTCGCAAGAATCTTGTTGCAGTAAATTCTCCCTAATTGACGCTCAGATTGTACACAAAAATGGACAATTTGAGAAGAGGAGACACGATTATTCGAGCCCCGCGACTCGTCTTTATAGTTACCGATTGTCAACAACTATAAAAATTCTTATTTATTATAAATAATAATATAATTAATAATATAAATAATAATATAATTATTACAAATTCTTATTTCTATAAAAATTCTTTATTCTTCTTGCGACTCGTTTTTATAATTACCGATTGTCAACAACTATAAAAACCAGTTACGAGACTGAAATAATCGTATCTTCTCTTCCCGAATTGTCCATTTTTGTGCGCAATCTCAACACGAATTAGGAAGAATTTATTGTCATAATTCACAAATTCTTCGACGACGTCAGCTAATTTGTACCTTCTCTCTGATATAATTGAAACGCGCCGAACCCAACCAGCCGTCCAGAAGCGAAGAAACTCGCAGAGCATTTGTTCCTTTGAGACTGTCTAAACGTTCTCCGGCGCTGTTCAAACATTTACCATTCGCCTCCTTTGACTCAACGGGTAATCCGGTTGACGCGATCAAAAGTGCAACGGCCGGTCGAATGCCGGTGTATCGATCGGTCCACAAAGCAAAAACCGCAGAGCATTTGGATCGGTCCCTTTGCCGGGACGCGACCTTTCAACGCGTCGCGTCCGTCGTCGACGGGAAAAAAAACCCGTAATCGGCATTCGCGTCAAGGTCATCCTTTCGCAACGCGCCGGAATATCCCGTCAAAGCAGCTCCCGTCGCGCTCGACGACATTTATATCGCCGTGGAAGTCGCGTTTCTACGCCTCGGCACATACTGGAATACCAGCGTCTGGCTTCGGACATTCCGTCACAGGACGGACATCGCGTTCCACCGCATCAGACTGGGGGCTAAGGGCTAATTTCATCCCACATTCCACCACGTTAGGTATGACGAGGGGGTGAGAGATCCGGAGACGCGATGGTCGGAGGGAGAGGATGCACAGGCACGAAGGCGGATCGAGCAACAATGAGGGACAGAGACAGAGGAATGACCGTGATGGGGTTGGGTTAAACGTCCATCGCCCGCATTCTCTGATCCTCGTCCGGGAGGCGACCATATTCCGCAATCTCTCTCTCTCTCTCTCCGTCTCTCCCTCTCTCTCTCTCTCTATTCCACGTCCGTCCATCTCTATCCCTCGATTCTCCACCACGTTTCCGCCTCTCTGTCTTCTTGGAGCGCGATGCAATATTGATTTCACGTTGTGGGTTTATGAATAAAATAAGCGGTTTATCTGACTTTGGCACGGGGTGGACGGCGCGCAGAAAGCCGAAGGTGGAAAAGGGGTGCACGGTCCCAAGAGATCACGCGAGCTGGCGTTGCCCATTGCGAGCAGATAACCAGGCATAGTGGCCCCCCTGTACAAGTCCACGTACATACGTATATACGGACAGGTTTCCGTCTGGTACCGGGGCCGGTCCGTGTGCGTGGGTGTGCCGGCTATCAGGTTGTTGTGTGCGGCGCAGCATGCAACACAGTTGCGTGACAGAGCATTTTGCGGCGGGCACGACACATTCAGCGCACGTTTCCTACCCCAACGTACACGTTCCGTATCATCGGTCGGCCTCTATCTCTTTACGGCGCGGCCGAGCATCGACTTCGACTACTGTTGCCGCTCTATTCCCACGGTGGCCAGCCATTCCTTTGCTACACCAGCGCGCAGCGTCGCTTCTTTCGATTCGTCTGCCTCGACCGCGCCGGCTTGCCTGCCTGCCTGCCTGCCTTTTGCCTGGCTTCCTCTTCGATTGTTTATGCGAACGGATACTTGCGGGCAAACCGTTTTTGCTTCCGGTTCGTAGGAGATTCCAGGGCCGGGGGCAGTCGATCGGGCACGTTTGAGGCAAAGGACAGAGATTTTAATGAAACTTTTGGCTTAACGGGGAACTAGTATCGGCTTTTCAATGTTACGTTGCACCTTTCTGGATGAACGCTTTGTTTGTTCCGTTTTCAAATTTTGATCACGGTGTGTAGTCTGTTACATGGATTATTAAGACTCTTGAATCATTAAGATCGCTTCCTAGAAGATGTCTGTAATTATTTTCTGTAGTTTGCTGTCGCGTCGGGGATTACTGGACATTTTTCGAAAATATGATAGATTCTTGGCTTCGATGGGAAATTATCAATTCATTTTCGAAGCTTTCATCAGATGGGAATTCAGATGGGACAATGTCCGATGAGGAAGCTGGATGAAGAAAATTCCCTATTCCAACGCTAATGATGTTGTTTTAGTCCAGGAAGCTATACAGGGTGTTCCACAATTATATTAACAGCCGAAAATGTGGGGTAGCTGAGGTCATTTGAAGTAACTTTTTCCTTTGCGAAAATGCTATTTGCGGCTTTGTTTACGAGTTATTAACGGAAAACACTGGCCAATGAGAGGTGACGGTGCTAGAGAGAGAGAGAGAGTCCTTTCCGGATTTTTTTTACTACATAACAGTGATATTTTTAAGAAAAACGCTGTTCACTTTTACTTTAGAACGTCTGAAGAATATTTACTAATTTTTCGGACCCGAACTAATATGAAGTTTAACCGTGACAGCCGTTTTAATTTTCTGGTGTGCATGACACCTTACGTGTACCATATGAAATTTTTATGCAAGGTGTACAGTGAAGATTAACTGCTTTTCTAACAGTAAAAACTATGATAAAATGTTGTTGTCGGAGGATGCTGTAGACAAATTTTTTAGATTATGCAAAAAAACAAAACTTATTTGCGATCTGATAAATTTAAGCATTGCGTTAGCTACGTCACCGATTGTAACTAATTAAACACGTTACGATTGAGGTTAAATATTCTTGCAAGAATGTTTTATCTGAATCATCTTTCGTCATTTTTCAATAAGAAGATTACGTCTATCGCGAGCTTACGAAGGATAAGTAATTGTGCAGTTTATAAAATACTGACGAGATGATAAACAAGAATCTTCATAACGTTTTATCGAATCATTCTCTCGAAGAAAAGTTACTTCCTCTGCTGCAGAATCAAAATTGTTTCCACTTGCGAACAAAGGACGCATTCTCGGATCCTCCGTTTTAATGATCATCAATTCGATCACATTTTACCTAGTGGCAGTGACGCTTTCGCATCTCACGTTTAAACCACTCGAAAGCAAACCTAAACGTTATAAATTTCGTATATGAACCGTTTATTTTGGAAATGGTATAAGTCACTTTTTTCTTTTTTTTTTTAAATGAAAAGATACCGTTCAATTGTAATTAGTGTTACCATTAACTCGATTTCTTCGAAAAAGTGACTTATGCCACTTTCAAAATAAACGGCTCACATAACTGAATATACATCGACTGAACATCGTTTTTTTAGTGTAAATAAATAATTAAGGTTATCAATGTTTAAACCTAACCCTTGGGCCGATTGGTCCACCCTCGACCCAGACCGACCGCCACGCAGGTCATCGTTTCCGCCGAGAAACTGCCGCTTGGAAAACCCAACCCAAGGTGAACCCTTACCTCCTGGTCGGCGTGTACCTTACTGAACCCCGACTGGCAACCCACCCCTACGTCTGGGGTCGATTCTTTCTCATTTCGGGCACCCTGGGACCAGCGCCGGTAGCACGTTACGCCATCAACGCCGCCACACTTTGCACTGGCGTAGGAACACACGTTTGTTCCCCGAGAATTTAATGAGATTGCAAAGCGCGCACAGAATTTAATTTCTCGGAATGGATCTCTTAAATCCATCGCATGCTGGGAACGATTCCTCCGAGCCTCTGCTCACGCTTTCCATCAACCTTGGCGTAAAGTCCTGAATTGCGAGGTTCCTTTTCTTTTTCGGCGGTGGACTTCGTGGGAGGAGATTGATAC